TAATTCTTTTAGTAAAATAAATAAATATTTTTTCTAAAAAAAGTTATTATTAATGAAATTAATAAATATTTCATCTATATGTATAAATCCCATTCTTTTTTTTAGGTTTTTTTCTTCCATCATTCCTAAGAAAAGAAAAAAACAGCCAGTGATAGAAAAAAGATAATGATAAGGTAATTCTTTTAGTAAAATAAATAAATATTTTTTTTCTAAACAGAGTTATTATTAATGAAATTAGTAAATATATCATCCATGTGGATTCTTCATTTATTATACACAATTTCCTTTTTCATATATAATACATAGTTTTTTTATTAAACTTCTTTTTTAAATTACCCTCATATATAATTTGCTTTTAGATAAGAAGGATCACTCCTAATTCTCTCACAACTCCTCATTTTTTTTTCCAATATCTCATATAAATAGAAAGGAATATTTTTTAAAAGAACATTATTTTATTTCTATAATATTTTAATTATAATGTTTAATAATTATTTTATTTTATTTTCAAAATTATGAATATACATATACTACAACTTATATTTTTAATCTTAACTTGTATTTTTACTTGGTAATGTGAATTGGAAAATTTTAATTTAGTTGAATGATTTGTCACTTGTTAAAATTTTGGTTCTTTAAAAGTTGTTAAACAGTGGACCTCTTTGTAGATTAAAAAAAAAAGTAGTTTTGATGGTACATGTGTTATTTGTGTGGAAACAATATTGAATATTTATTTATTTCTTATATTGGTGTATGGTTGTAGGAATGATTAAACGAAGCTTTTCACGATTTGTGATTATCTTTTTTAGATTTGTTTGTTCAACGAAGTTTTCTAGTAGTTCTTTGTCTAAAATGATTAAAATTATCCTTATTATTTTGACTATCTGGATGATTTGAAGGATGAGAAATCATAGTACATTTTTTATCTAATTGTTTTTCCTTCTAATATTTTTAAAATTAAGAATTTAATGTGTATGGTTGAGGGATAAATCTAAGAAACACATAAACAATAATGTCTTTGATTTTTTGGTGCTATAGTTTTTCAACATTCAAACTATGAAAGGTATAACGGTTTCATCTATGGATGCAATATGGAAATTTTCCTGTGTTAATTGACATAAGATGAATATTGATGGTGTAACTAGATGTTGTCCTAATTTAACTTCATGTGTTGATAAGAGGAAGTCGGACGAACATGTTAGTGTTTTTCAATTTATTTTCGGACGTAGACTTCTATTTATACTAAATTTATGGAACCATTTATGTTTTGAAGCATGCTTGGAGAGAGGAGTTTTAGTAGCTTTGCTTGAAGAATGATTATTCTTCAGTTTGTCATGATTTTTTGAATCAATTAGTGGTTCATTGGAGTTTTAGAGGAAAATGGTATCGATACATCAATTTTGTAAACATATATAGTTCAAAGTTTTTCATGTTTTTTTATGAGAGAAATTATTAAATTAATAAGTTAGTTAATTTGATTTTATTTAAGAGAGAACCATGATAATAATTTAATATTTTATCTCCATATATTTATTTAGATTTTTTTATAATATATATAGTTTATTTATGTTTCATTGTAATTTTCATTAAGATAATAATACTTTGATAACATTTTAACATAATATACGTGTCATTCTGTGATTGGTCCAAAATTATTTCACAATCACTAATAATAATCATAAACAGTAACATGTACGTGTCATTCTGTGATTGGTCCAAAATTATTCCATAATCACTAATAATAATCATAAATACCAACATGTCACAGAATGACACGTAGATGGTGTTAAAATGTTGTAAAAAAATGTTGTCAATATCATTATCCTTTTTATTATAAACTTTGTATGATTTCATACTTTGTCTTATTTGTTTATTTAATTTAATAAATGTTTATGTAATAAATAATAATTAACTTTAGAATGTTAATCTACCTAATGTCCAAGTTCATAATAACATTTAACACGACCTTGTTTGAATTTATAATGAGTAAAAAACTTTTTTTTAGGATAGAAGGAAAATATCACTAAATATATCACCGGTTTTCAATTTTTCCATTACAAAATAAAAAAGAAAAGGTAAAATACACTCTGAAGATGATGTTAGGCATTTATTTTTACTTTTATCATGCATTATAATTTATATGGAAAGATTTTGAAAACATGTCAAGTCATTAATATATTAAATTTTTCGTAATTCTTTTTTTCTAACAAGACATTCTATCATGTATTGTAATTTATCATGCATAATAGAATATCTTATTTGAAAGATGTTAGACATTTATTTTTTCTTTTATCATGCATTGTAATTTATATAGAAGGATTTTAAAAATATGTTCAAGTCATTAATATATTTTTAATTTTTTTGTAATTCTTCCTTTTCAAACAAAACATTCTATCATGAAAAAAATATATAGTGAATTCAACCCGTTTTGATTGGATAAAGCCCACATTAATTCAAACTAATTCATTTTTATAAGAGTGGATTGATAGGTGATTAATTATTATGGACAGATTAATTTATGTTTTTTTATTATTATCATGAATTGATTTAGATAAATATGTTATGGCATAACTTATTAGTTTGCTTAAAAATCTTTAATTTATTTTTATAAATGTTGTGTTATTTTTAATTAAGTTATACTTAAAAATTATAATTTTTGTAAATCATATTTTTTTTGTTCAAAGTTTAGATCTAATTGACCTAATTCAATCCCACTGTTCAATAATGACTTTGGTTGGATGGAGTTTAATATAAAAAATACATAAGCAAAATCCAAACTATATATTTTTTTAAGCAAGTTAGATAGTAAGTCTTCACAAATCTTCGCCAATCACATAAAAAAATTCCTAATTTATAATCTAAACTTATGTGCATGCTATCAAGGCTACCACTTAATTGTTCTTTTATATTTTATTTAATATTTTAATTTTCCTGTTTAATATATATTTACGAGTCATGTTAAATTAAGTTCACTTTGTTTTAGGTCAACCTGTATTTTAAAAAATTAAATATACTTTTTATTTCTTAATTTTGAATGAAAATTAAAATTAGTTTAGTTTTAAAATGTTAACTTAATTTAATTTCTCAACTTTATAAATACCTGAATTTAATTACTTTAATCAAATTTTATTAAACTTATTTGATGCTTCAAACATAAAAACACATTTTAAACATAAAATAAACTTAACAACGTTTGATTAAATGATTAAATTCATTCATTTTTAAAAATGACAAACTAAATTGGGTCACAGTTTCACATAAATACTTATTTCAATTTTCACCAAAAATTAAAATAAAAAAAACATATTTAATCCAATTTTAAATTCTCATGTTTTAGATGAAATTTGAAATTATTTAAATTTAATAAGTTTTTGAAGTGAAATAACTAAAAATAATCAACATCAATTATACTTTCTTCAAATTTACATATAGAAATTAACACTATTCTCAACAAAAAAATTTAAAACAATGAGTTTGGATATTAACCTTTTTATGATATTCAATTTTTCTTTATTCAATATGAAATAACCTAAATTTTACCATAACATATTTTAAATTATTTTAAAAACATAAATTGTCATCCTAAAACGTTTTATCCGATCACAAAATTAGCCTCGTGTCATTTGGATTAAAAAAAGAAGAAGTTAAATTGAAAAAGAAAAGGAGAAATAATAAAGACAATATTTTAATCCGAAAATGAATTCTGGTATCCTATTTTTATTGTCAGTGAACAACGGATTTAAATAGGAAAATTTCCTAATGTCAAAAGAGTTATAGAGAAAGATCTCATGGGTCAATATTTGGTATGCTTATTTTGTTCAGTGTGCGATTATTTGTTTCTTGTTTTTAGAGTGTCTTGTAGTTTTAAAGTGACAAAATTGAGTTCTAAGGGTATAATCATTCTGAATCATTTTGCATTTCAACCACAATAGGAGACTGATATATTATTTGTTAGTTTGCTTGTTTTCTTTGGTATTAAATTAAACGCGTCATTCTTATTGATATATTGCATTGGTTTTAATTGATTAATGATTACGCAAAATATATATTATGTACGCAAATGCATCATATTTTTCATCAATCATTATAATAATTATAAATAAACAATCATAAAGTTTCCACTCCATGTCCAGAATCATTCATTTCGGCTATGGGAAGGTGCAAATAGTTAAAATGAAATATTTGACAACAGTACTTTCAGGTTAGAAATAAGCAAATGCAATACATTAGAAAAAGTTAACAACCAACGTAGTATTTCCCATAATAAACCAACTTAGTAATTTTTTTTTACTTAAATGTCACTTTTTTATTTAAACAAAAAAGAACATATTAAAACCGTATAAAAATATTAAAAAATTATATATTAAAAAAAAGACTTTTTTATTTTATCATGAATTCTATGCTGTCATGTCTATAAACAATGGTGAAGACTGATTCTGGATCTGAAGTGGCGAGTTTATAAGAAAACATTAAAAGTCTTATGTGATTTAACATGTGATAAAAGAAATATATGGTGATATAGGAGGCATCGTGGCAAAAGGACAAAAGGAAGGCAGCAAATAAATCACGATGATGACCCATTGCCAGATAATCCAGATACACTATACAAGCCAACAAAAATTGTGCAAATTGACTCAGAACCACAAAGACTAGGGGAAGCTTCGTGGAATGTCACTCAAAGACATGTTATCTAAGCGAATGGGTTAATTAGTTTCTAGTTACTTTATTTTAATTAGTAATTCTAAAGTATTTGTTAATTTAAAATAAAAAGTACTTTTGCTTTTTTTAAAAAAGAAATTTTATTTAATATTTTAAAATTTCATCCACGTGCCTCAAAATATCTTTTAACAAAATCAGAATGAGATTAAACTCCAAAAAACATAGCTAACTCGTGATGTTTTTTCATAATATTTTTTTCCTATTTTTATCTTTTTTTTGCAAGACAATTAATTTACATTTGACGTCATACTTACAGTGTTCTCTCACCTTGGTGCACAATATTCTTCAAATACAATTTTTCTTGGCTGAAGACGTCAGGTCTTGAAACTCATGGAGAAAATATTAACATCACCGTAAAGAACGAGTCTTCCAAACTCATTTTCTTCCTCCATCCTCGTTTCCACGTTTCACGGTTAAAAGAAACAAAGATTCCATTCTCCTTCAAAGATAATGGAAAGCAACGAATCCGCGAGAGAGAAAGAGAGCATGGTGGAAGAAGTGTTCGAGGACATGTTGCCAGTGATGGCAGAGAAGCTGGGTGTGGAGACCTTTGTGTCTGAGTTGTGTGGAGGTTTCAAGCTTCTGGCCGACCCAGAAACGGGTTTGATCAGTGGTGAGAGTCTGATGAGGAATTCGGCTCTATTGGGTATGGATGGGATGAGCAAAGAGGAAGCAGAGGCCATGGTTGGACAGGGCGATCTTGATGGGGATGGGAAGCTCAATGAGACTGAGTTTTGCATCCTTATGCTCAGGCTCAGCCCTGGGATCATGGAAGAAGCCGAAACTTGGCTTCACAAGGCACTTCAACAAGACCTCACCAAATCCTCAACTTAAACTCCATCCTTCTGTAATCAAATGTAAGTTATTTGTGTGTGATGGATGTATCGTGCAAGTTATTTAACACTCTATGAATGATTTCTAAAGGGAATTTAACTATAATGAAATGAATGAGCACTTGGGTTGTTCAACCAAATATTATTTTGTTACAAGAGATAAGTAAAATTCGATACTCTTCTTGCAGTTCTAGATCACTGGTAACACTGTTAAAAGCATTCGATAGTTTCATCTTTTATCAGAAACAATTGAGTCAATCAAATGTATGATATATTCACATCTCAAATATAAACCACGGAGTTTTAATTTATAATCGATCAGATATTGTTTGAGTGATGTTGTAAACTCCTAAATGAGATCTCAATAGATATCTACACAATGTGAATGTGAGTGTCATTGCCAAGCATATTTCTCCATTCAGAAAGCTGGATCGATGAATTCAGTAGTAACAAAAGGCAAGTGAAACGGTGATAGCGTATAATTGGTGTTAAGTGAACAAATCAAGTATCAGATTTGCACGTGTAGGAAGGACAGAATCACTCTGTAACTGAATCGTTACAGCAAGGCATGACATGATTTGATTGATCCCCTGTCTTATGTGGAGCTAGGCGAGGCTTATTAGTTTTATTGATTATTAGTCCCATGATGATCGTTCCGGTTGAAAGGTTGAACGATGAGATTTCATGTTGACGACAGACTTGGCGAACAAGCAGCATTCGAGGTAAACAACGAAAACCGGCTTCGTCTTCGAAGGAAATTTTTTTTGCAGAAACGATGAAACAATGCCCTAACCCTAACAACTTATGGTTCTTGCGCTTAAAAGCGAACAATAACAAAACCTAACTTGCTTCAGAATAAAAGCTTGGATTTGAAGTCAATGTTCTCTGTATTGTGTCACTCCATCAGGAGAAGAAATGAAAGAAAAAGACTTTTAACGAAAAAGTGTATAAGATAATTTGCAAAATATAGACAGAATTTCTTTTATTAATTACAGAAATAATGTGTAAAAAGTATATTTAAAAAAATATATAACTAAGAGAGTGAAGTTTGAATGAATTTGTTAGTGTCGAAAGAATGTAATTGAAGAATACTCAAAGAAATTTGACATATTATTAGTGCTTCACAAAACAATTTATAGTTTTAGAAATTACTTTTCATTCTTTCTATTTTAAAATTTGATAAGGAACAAATTCTAGAACTATTTTATAATTTAATTTAATTTAATTTGTTTATACAATTTCAAAAACTAAATAATAGATTATTCTTATTATATATGAAATAATGAATAAATTCTTTGTAAATAGTATTCTTAATAATCCGTTGTAGTCTAGTTGGTCAGGATACTCGGCTCTCACCCGAGAAATTTCCTTCTGACATTACATTCATGTAGAAGAGATCAAAATTGAAGAAAGAAAAAAGCTTATAGGAAAAAGACCAACTTCTTTTATTTTTTTAATAATAACATATTAAACTAAGATGTTTAATTAAAATATAAAGAAAATTATTTAAAAGAATTACTTGTATAAGAAAACGGGATTATCAAAGTATAGCGACTCGTAAACTAATTTTGAAATGTCTATAAGAAAATACGTTCCATTGTTTAAATTCAAACTCATGTAAATTAACTATTTATCTGTGCATAATTGTGACTTTTAAATTACCTTATATTAAAATCGATAGTAAATAAACATGTTTTTAAATATATAAATTATGTTTTACATTTATAATAAATTGTTTATGTTATGGTAGGAGGGTATTTCTAAATTAAAACTGGTCCGTATTTAAGAAAGTAATTATTAAGTATATAAAGTAGGAAAGATAATTTGACACGATATAGACAGAATTTCTTTTATTAATTATAGAAATAATGAGTAAAAAGTATATTTAAAAAATATATATTACTAAGAAAATGAGTTTTAAATGAATTTGTTGGTGTGAAGTATAACATTGAAGAATGTTCTAAGAAATTCAACCTATATTTCTAGTGTTTTCGAAAATAATTTATAACTTCATTCTTTCTATTTTTAAAGGTGATTTAACAATTCATCATATTTTTAAAACTGGATAATGAACCATTTGTAGAACTATTTTATAATTTCATTTCATTTGTAATTCAAAAACTAAATAGATTATTTTTATTATTAATAATCAAGTAAGTTAGGAAGTGTTTCATATAGAATACATGGAATATTTTAATACTTATCAGTAACACTTTCAACAATCCGTTGTAGTCTAGTTGGTTAGGATACTCGGCTCTCACCCGAGAGACCCGGGTTCAAGTCCCGGCAACGGAAATTCTTTTTCATTTTTTGTTATGATTTTTATTCAATTCATAGCTCTCGGCTCCAAATTTACATTTTGTAAACAATCCTAGAGAAAAATTGCAAATAAATTTATTCCTCATTTGATTGTTCCTCCAAATATTGCAAGAGCTACGATGAGTCGTATCTTAGATCGATTTTGTAAATCATGGAAGTGGCATTTAGAGTATATTTTTCGATGGCAGTGTTGTTGCTTTAGGCAAGTAATGAGGAAAAAGAAATTCAAATTTCTGGGGAAGATAAGGTGTTCTTATTCGATTGATGCATGCTTACATGAAACCAACTGTAAATTTGATTGATGAAATGAAGAATTTGAGATTTTCACTTCAGGCAGCAAAAGAGGGCACACTCTCCTGAACCAAGTTTCTGACCTTCACTCTCACCGCCCCACTCAACCGGTGCACGCTTTCAGCAATCCCAAAAAGCTCATCTTTCCCCATCTTATTCTTCGACGAAACCAGCACCATTTGAGTTCCACAAAGCTCGTCGTAGATCCTCTCGAACTCTTGCAGCACCTCCTTCACAATCCCCACCCTGTTCCTCTTCAGCAGCATCTTCAGCAACGCGACCACGTGCCTGTGAAAGTTTCCCTCCTCAACCGCGGCTGACTCAAACTTCACACTTTGCAGCAGTTTCAATAGCCTCTCAACATCCCTGTGTACAGAGTGAAGGGAATGGCTATTTTGGGCGACGTCCACGAGAGCTGCTGCATACCCAGTAGCGGGATTTGAGTTGCATATGGAAGACGACGGTCTGGGCTTGAGGGGTGAGAGAGAGAAAGGAAGGGAAGGGGAAGATTTGTGGGAGAAAGATTTGGTTTTGGGGAGAAAAGTGGGTGTGGAAGTGGAGAAAACATGATGGGGTTGCTGTGGTCGTGAAGGGGTTGCTTTGAAAGGAAAAAAATCGCGATTTGTTAGGGTTGGCGAAGATGGGAAAGGAGGAACTTTAAGGGTTGAAACAGATGATGAGAGAGTATCCATGGAAAGAGGGTTTCAGACAGACAAGTTTTTAGGTTTTATTGTTTAGGAAAAGAGAATAAGGTAAGCAGAGGATAAGTTTTGGCCACTTGGTCTCACAAAGGAACACATACTAATGGTATCGACGTTGACCTAACTCACAATTTCAATGTTCCATAATTCTATTTAGTAAAAGGTGTCATCTTTTTTGGAATTAATGGATATAACGCGATGCAATACAATGGATGTTGCAGCAGATTCATGGATGGTATATTTCTTCTTTTTGAAAATTAATTTCTACCCAAAAAAACTCACTTTTCACTGATACATTAATTGGTACATTACATAGAAGCTATATCAATTTAACATACAGAAAAATTTAATACATTTTTATAATAGAAGTTTTGACTTTTTCAAATATGGATCATGACTTTCTTATTTGATAATAAATATTGCTATGATTTAATTGTATATTTCATTTTCTTGAAATTTTAATATAATTACTTTTTATTTTTAACTACTTAATTTTTTTCTTCAATGTTATCGTAAAGAGTTTTTTTTACTGTTGACTGTTCAGCATGTATTTTATATAACACATTTTCTCATATATACTTAAAATTTATCAAAATTATAAAATCGAAACAAAATAAATTTTTAAATTTTACAACTTTTATTAAACTTGAATAAACTAGGAATACCATCTTTTGTTTTGATATAAAGAGATTATGATGAATCAAATTTTGACTACTTTAATTATTACTTGATGATTATATTTATGCATAGTCTAATTTTAATTGAATTAGTGGTTAAATTTCAATTATGTAGTTGAAGTTAAATAATGTAAAAAATTAACAACTATAAATATTTACAGTTTTTTGTAACTTTTTTGAGTGAAAAGAAACACATGTTTGACTAAGTTTAATGTGTGTAAGTAAAGTATTAATTCATTTTAAACTAATATTATATTTTTTTTTCAGATATGATCTATATAAAAAATGCAATTTAATAGACAATTTTAACATAGAACTATTAAATAAAAATTAAATAATGCAATCAATGAAAATTTTATTTAGTGTTGAAGGAAGCCATGCCCAAAATATAGGAAGTTAAACTTTCAATTTACCAAGAAGCTAAGCATTTGCAATCAACTACGGAAATTGTTTAACTATATTAATTATATGATTTTTGGTGGTTAAAATTAAAGATACTTGCTTATAGAAATAATTATTCTCGGGTTTTCTCAAGCTTTGTACTACTCCTAGGAGGGAAGACATGTAATTTTGAAAAAAAAAAGTGTGAATAATCAAAGAAATTAACTTTTTATATTTTTTTTTCAGAACAAACAAAGATTTTTCTTTTAAATTTAGTTAAATTTAGGACTTGTGCTAGTAGGTGTTTTACCCGTCCAATTCCCTTTGTATAAATCTATCACATTCATATTCTTAGGATTCTCTGCAATATGAAATTTTCATTAATATCTTTCCTATAATCAAGGCAGTGAAGGTTCCCTAATAAATACTCATAAAGACAATTAAATAAATACAATAACTAAAGAAATCACAAAATTAAGAAAATAGAAGAAAAACCCACCATTATAAGGTGTCAATACCAAATTTCGTCCGAAGTGGTTCTTTTGGCCTTACCGTAGACTGTTCTCCTTTGTTTTACTATTTACCCTTTTTATCATTATTTTTATTTTTATTATTTTCGTTTTTATTATTTATTTATTTATTTATTTATTTATTTTCTTATTGTTTTATTTGCTGTCTTAGTTTTGGGTTTTTAGTTTTACCTTTTTATTTTATAATAAAAAAAAAAAAAAAAAAAAAGGGAATTAGGAAAAGGGGCATTTTGTCTTTAGTAAAAGTTAT